AAAGATAGGCAACGGATCTACGAGACAATGATAGAATCCGGATTGGAGGCCCGAGTGGGAGAAGCCATCGCAAGAGAGGGGTCGGGGTAAATAACAGGTGTGATGAGGCCACACTCGGCTTGCTACAAAAGGGCACACATTTTGATGATTGGAATGTAACAAGGGGAAAGTTGTGATAGGGCGGCAGTGGGATAAGGGGGTAAAGAGTAGATAGATAGGCCAGAACAGAGAGGAGTGATAGTGTAACCGTTTCCAGCAGAACGGTTGTCGAGGCATTGACTTCACTTGTCTCTTTGGCGAGTTCGTATCTTGGTGCGGAGACTGGCAAGGCCCACTGATGATGCCGACTACGATGCCGGAGAAACGTCTGAGAATGTATCCAGTCCACGGTCGGATGCTGGGAATCATGACAACCACTATGGCAGACTAATTCGGACTAGGTGTGTTCTACGTGGTCTCCCTTAGAACAAGACCAAGTTGCGACAACGAGGTCAACCCACTTCTATCAATCGAATAGAGACTGCGACCACACCAGAGGCCACAACATCTTGGTCTTCATATATTTAATAAGATACTAAACCAAGAGAAGAAAGTGGCTGGTGCAAGCCTCATTCGCTTTTTATACACCTAACATCGCGATCTTAATGAGGCCTCTCCTGATTTGGTTGGCTACTTCAACCTTAATCGACATGCTTGCAAATGGGTTAAATTAACTTCCCGAACTTGAAATGTCTTCCGTTGCAGCTGTTTCATCACACAAAAACTAGCCTACGATCGCCTAATTATGAATCATTTTGGGCTTGTGCTTTCGTATATTGTTTGCATGTAAACTCACGTCATGGGAAGCATTATGGTCCCAGCTAGACTCGAGGTAAATCCAGCCTCCTCTTGCTCAGAGGCTCTTCCTTCCCCCATCTCTCTTTCTTTCCTTAAGTCTATCCAACAGCAACAAAAGGTTCCTAGTTAGTTTTCTACACTCATTCCACCTTTTCAGGACGTTGGCTGTTTTGTTACTTCCTATATACTCTTAATCTTACGCTTTGACGTAAAGTCCCCGTAACCCACAAAACGTTGTGCTTTGGACCAGATTTTTTCTATATAGCCAAACAGCGATTTTGGTGTTTAGCAGCGACCAACTGGCAGGCTGGTTGGCAAAAACGGGGGTCGAATTACACTATAGAGTCAGAGGAGAATGCGACCACACAGAGGTCCTCACCATCTTGGTTTGCATACCTAGCATCTGATATTTTAGCTACTTTCATAGTTTACCCTGTAAACTTTGAATTGGACAACGCACTGCCAAGCTTTGGTTGGTCGACGCGAAATGAAGAATGAAGATGTCATCCATTCACAAAAAATTGAATTGGAAAAGTGTAGGGGTAGGTCACTACAATCCTTTCCTCTCAAAGGGTCTTTACATCCCGACTGGACTGCAGTCCATCCTCTGTCAGGTTTTCATCAGCACCCCCAACAAAAGTCCAACCTCGTTAACACAGTCCGCATTCTGCCACACTGCCACGGATGCCATTTGTCTACAAAGACGTGATTTTCCGGACAAGCCATGTTTCACCCATATCATATTCATAGTTGGGTTGGTGAATGGAGTAAATTTGTATTTAGCAACTACAATCGACAATGTTACCTATATACATGGTGAGCAAACTTTGTGAGACGTGGCGGAAACATGTCGAATAAAACATTACACTAACTGGCTCTGGTCCGGTTAGGGGTAACGATGAGATGCAGAGGGGGTGAGAACTGCATTCCAACTGGGATAAGAAGACCTTTCGTGATATAAGGCTGAATGAAGTTTAGTAGCATCAAGAGGCCTAGCGACATTATGGCAGAGGAATTCTCTATCAGTCCTTCATCACTGCGAGCGATCTAGGGTGACTAGAACTTGTATTCAGGATCTACGGATAGCCTCGAAACCAACCTACTATGAATATATACATCTATCTGTACAATTATTCAAGTACAACACTGGTCCTATAATAATAATTCACAAAGTACAAGCGAATTCACTTGTCCTATCACTTGCCCACTTACAAACTTAGCGAAGTCATACAACTACAAAAATTCAGGGATTTTCTTTAATCGTGACTTTTTATGAATCCATCGAGCAGTATTGGTCTTAATACCCCCAATCGGGACACCTTAATTATAATTTTGGGAAGAGCATAGGCAATACTGAGGGGAAAGATTGAATCCAGACCTTTGGATTTGTGCAGAAGGTTTTTCATACGTCGGCTTAAGGATGAATGAGAGTTTGAATCTAGACGACCACTCTCATCGAGAGTAAAGAATGGCGGTTGGCTCTAAAGATGCCTGGCACGATAGGAGAGACGAGGGTCTGGCGTGGACTAGCTGAGCTCAAAGGATGTTACACTGGGGGCCCGTACAGTAAAGTCACAACCGCAAAAAGTTTTCCTTCGGTTTCCCTTAGAGTCGTTGCCCTAATATGTCTAGCTCAATTTTCGTAGAAAATGAAAGCTCCCCAGCTTTTTGTGCTGGCACTAATTTAGCGTCCCCGGACCAACCAATTGCCTTTTGGGCTCGTCCCGGAATTATGATGACCGAAGACAGACCTTGTCTAGCAGTTTCGTCTAATTCATTCTACCTCGGAATGACTCTTAACTTTGAGATCCTAGTCTTCGCGCTCAGTTTCCCAGTGCTCTTTTGCGACTATCTCGTTTCAGATGAGCTCAACTCAAGCGTCCAGTTGATGCGTCCGTACACAAGACGAAGGTCTGCTATAGCACACAAAGCACAACCCTCAGCAACTAGAGAGCAAGAGGCTTTGTATGGCAAAGAGACGCGAAGATGTGTGGATGGTGTTTTAACCAGTGTTATGCGTCTTTTCATTAAAAAAACGATACTTCCACGCCACTCACGCCCTTGAGCCCATCCCAGAGGAGCTGAAGCCCTAGCCCCGTCGCTCGTTTGGGGGCCGGGTTGGTCCGAACCAAGAGGAAAACTCGCAGTGGACGAACGAGAGGGACGGAAGGAGAAGACGAAGACTTGGTGCCAAAAGTCTGTTTTGTCTCGAGGTGACAACGTGTGTGGCGGTCAGACCATCAACTCGGTGAGGGCCTTGCCCTGCAGAATGTCCTTGCAGGAGTCGAAGACGCGATCCACGTTGCGTCTGTCGATGGCCACCGTCGGGAAGGGGTAGATGTGGCGAGTGCTCGTCTGTTGGCAAGTGGAGACGAAGAGATCCTGAATGAAGTTGGTGATAGTGACCAATTGGAAGAGGGGAACGGCCATAAGACGGCGCTGGAGACCAGCGAAGTCGTCGCGGGCCATCAGATCCTTTGCCAGGG